AATGTTTTTTTAGTCCATACAGAAAACCGTGACCACCTAATATAACAAACCATCGACTCCAAATCAAGTTTAAGTTTAGATTTCTGTGAAAACCGACAACATGGAGACACATCTACAAACATCTACCTGTACTTTTAATCCCAAAAGTCTGTTTGCAAAGTTCTAGTATTTATTTTCTTATTTTTCTTTTCAAAATAAAACACTCCGTGTTTCAGGAGGATCGTTTTTCACACCATGCAAACGGGCGGAGACGAACAAGTGAAAGGTTTTTAGACGTCATTTCACCCCGATGACACCATGGATGAGGAGATGCTGATTCTAGAAGTCTAGAAGTAGATTTCCTCCTCTGGAAGGAGACAATCTACTGCTTATATGGTTAGCCTCTGTAGCTAAAGACAACTCATTATCTCGTGATTGCACGTGAGTTCTTGTGAGTTCGCATGATTCCCGCTGTCCATAAACCGCTACGAAATTAGCCTCACCAACTGATCCGGTAGGAATTGGCAGAAGGCGAAAAATCGTCACCATTCCGGATCAGAGCCATTCCGGATGCGAGGATAATGGGGGTATGGATGTTTTAATAAAAGAGGGCGGAGCCAGGATGGCTTATCAAACAGGAACTCCTTCATCAAATGTTCAGTTACTTTCATAGCGCCACCCTGTGGAGACATATGGTACTAACCTTTACATACGTCATCCAATCTGCTTCAAATTGCACAGAATCATTGACGGTCCCAGTCTGGACTTATCTACATTTTACATTTCTGTCAACATTGCCACCTGTTGGACACAATCAGTATGAATTCACATGAGAAGAATATAACAGCATTTACTGAAATTTTATGAATAATTGTGTTTAACCAAAAAAAAGGACATTTCCTGGTTTGTTTTCAGCAGGTTAAACTCACAAATCTCAGCTCCTGTTACCCTGTTGTCGTTGTCACTGTGTTATAAAGGAAGTGTGGTCTGAAGGATCATTTGGAAAGCCAAGACACAGTGACACGAGTGACAATGAGCGCTGTTGGTGTATAATCACAGGAGCTGGGTGGAGGATAATGGAGAGCCTGGCTCATCCGGCCTGCTGTGCTCAGGCTGGACCAGCAGCTGTGAGGGAAAAAGACCAGAGACAATGCAGAACACCAAATCCATAATAAGCGTAATGACTTTCCCTGTTCTGGACAGCAGCTTATGCATCAATTTGGGAAGCGGTTGGCAGACCGACCCGAGCCACACAAACAGCTCCAACAGTGAGAGGCCGGGAGGAGGGCGTCCGCACAGCTGCCGGGGTTAGCTGGTCCATCACCTCTCAGGCCAGAGACACTAAAAATAAACCTGTTTTTGACAGTTCTGTGCTGTTGGAGACGACACGTTCAAACAATGAAACAAGTCCATCCTGATGGGAGGAGATGAATTTCACTTTTACTCCTCTGTCGATAGACTGGGATGAAAACACGAATGAAGAATTCCTCATCTAGAAGAGTTACATGTATGTTTGGTGGAGCGGCTCAGTCCTGATGTTGCGCCGCATAAGTACCAAAGAAATGACGTGTCCTTCATTTTCCAGACTAATGAACGCTCGCCGCTTCATTTAATATCAATGAAGAATATTTTCACTTTGGTCTGTTCTCTCTCTGTCAGTGGAGATCTGCTCAGAGTCCGGCTAAATCAAATATAACAGTCGGGGATTTCACCGCTCAGTGTCAGAACTGTACTTTATCACTTCATGGTTAATCCTTTGTCGTATTCAACATGGCGTCAGTCGAGCAGCGGGGAGTTAAGGGCTGATTTTTTCATCCGTTTCAGAGTGAGCACTTTAACACTCAATAAAGAGAAGATCTCTTCTCTGATTGGCTACTGGAAGTGTAACCAATCTTGGTTTGTTTGAATGTTATAGTCAAAGTCAAGATGAATCTTGCGCTGCATGGTGAAACCATAGACTGTATGTAGAATGGACGCCGTCTGTCTCCTCGAAATACAGAGAGCAATTCGGCTTCAAATTCGTATAATGATGGGAGGCGGAGCCAAATTGACCATCGTATATACAGTCTACTCTCACGACTCCCTTGACAACCTGTTATCTTGAGCACATTGTGGGAGGACTTCAGAAAACAGAAATTTATTGGAGTTTTAACCGCCGCTTACTCATGAAAACTTTGGTGCACACGCTGCGTTCCAGTGACCTCGGAAGTCTGATGTCGTAGCTGGGAATGACGTCACAGTAACACAGTAAACAAGTGAACAAGTTGAAAATCCAAGATGGACGCCTACAGTTACCTGTCGTTAGCTGTCGCTCGCCGTTGTCAGCTATCGTTAACCGTTGTCAGTTGTTAGTTGTCGTTAGCTATACCAGTTGTAAACAACACAAAACAGTATTTTACTCTTACAAACACCGTTGCACCGTGTTCACAGTTAGACGTTGGGCAGTTTAACATAAACCACTTATTTAATTTCACAAAAACAAAACAGAAGTGCTAATAAATAAAACATTACGAGAGCTTTACTGTTACTCTTTACTGTTGATGCCGACATCTTTATGACATTGTCGACAGGTCGGGGTCGGTGAGGATCGTCCGACTTTCAGAGTCGGTAATCCGACTTCAGGGGGGCGTTCCACAGGTGGTAATTCCAGATGAATTGCCGAATCGGAGCTTGAAAATTCCGACTTCCGAGTACAGCTGGAACGCAGCAATAATTGACACATTAAACCCGGATGCAGCGACTCATTGGTTGCCAGGGTAACGCTCTGAAGTTGTAATAGTTTGATTATGTTTAAGTGCATCATTACTAAACGTAAAAATCCTAGTTTGGGTCATTTTTAGAGACTTAACAGGTTGGACTGAAACAGTCACAAGGACGTGAGCCCATTGTTTGCCTTTTTTAACCGTCCATCCACCAGCCTGGTGTAATAAATTCCTCTGAACATATATTGGCACCGAACGGTGGAAAAGTTGCCCAGCATTGGTGTGTTTTGTCTCTGTCTGTTGTCATGGTTGTGGAGCACCATCTGGTTGCGTTTGCGAGCCGATCTGACTCATTTTTCATCCCCGATGTTCCCCCGAGGACAAGACGGGAAAAGTCACCCCGATGTTAACGCATTAATTTGGACGGAAACTTCCTCATTTACCCGATTAAACAGACGCACACACGTAACATAACGTTTAAAATGATATCTGAAGAGTGATGGTGTGATGATTTTAGTTTTCACTCCGTATAATCTCAGTTTGGTCTCTGTGTTTATGAAGCGGTGACATTTAGAGGAAAAACCCATCATCATCATATCGTTTTGAGACATCTGTTGATATTCCCCTTTCATTTTCGCTCTCCTTTACACACACACAAACACACACACAGACAGCAGCTGCTATATTGTGAATCCGGAGCACAGCATGGCAATCCGTTAATTACACAGCTCCCAAAGTTCAATATATCTGAGGCCATAACTACAAAGGAAAGAATGAAATGTATAAATAATGAATTCGGCATTCTCTGTGATTAAAGCTGAATATCAAACCAATCAGACAGTCGCTGCTGCAGCTATCTGATTATCATTTTCAGACTTTTTCAGGGCTGGAGCGCCGCTCACTTTCCCCGGCTTTCATGCTTAAAACACCAGGGAAAATAGCAGCGGTGGAAAAAAGGAATAAGCAGGAAACATTTGTTATTCATGAGTTCATTTTATTCAGATTTCCCTCCGTCTGATGGTTCATATCTCGGCCTAATACGGTTTCACGCGGACCGGTGTCTCGAGCGGGGCTCTTTCGTTGGGTTTGTCGGTTAGAGGAGCAGAGAGGCGACTTTGAACCAAAAGTGCGGGAACGACGCTCTGACTCACAAGGTCACACACACACACACGCACACACACACACTCAGGGGTGTCAGATGTGGGCCTGAATCACTTGACTTCGATGAATAAGAGAAAAGATCTGGATGTAAAACACTCTCTGTTTGCTCTTCAGCCTCTGTCCTCCCACTGCTCCTACCTCGCTCTGTTTGGAGAGAAAATATTTATTCCACTTGGATCCATAGATTTTTCATTCCTTTGCTCGTTCTCGTCCTCACCTCTCCGTCCTCCTCTTTCTTTCTCTTTCTTTCTTTCCTTTAGTTCCCTCCCACCTCATCCTCAGAAAATCCATCCTCCTCTCTCTCCTCTTTCTTTCCTCTCTGTTCCCTTTCCTCTCTCATGACTCATAAAGTGTCAGATCCGTTAGTTCAGACTGACGTTAATGTTTCTGGACGACTCAGACACAAAATTAAAAATTTGATGCATTTCTTTGGTTGTACTCCTCGATATATTACTTACAAAACCACAAAGTAGCTGTTTGTGTTCGCCTCAGAGGCCTGTAAGAGCTGGGTTTGAGTCTCAACCATAGACTGTATAAACTACGGACAACTTGGTTCCACCTTCTGTTATTATACAAATTTTGAGCCGAAAAGCTCTCGGTATTTCTGCGTTTGTTCTCCACTTTCTAAAACCAATATTGCGCAGCAGCGTTGTACACATTTGGCGGGAGAGTCGCTGTGATGGCGCTCGGCTCAAACAGCGTATACACAATCTTGGTACGCCCATTGGCTGTATCAAGTGTCAATCATAGAAAACATGAACCCCCCTAAACTGAAAAAAGAGGACACAAACCAGTCTGACAGTAACTACATAACAACATCACAACCAGGGGGGAGAAACATTTATATTCTGTGTCATTAATTTATAAAGTTTGTCCACAGCTCCATAAGGAGGCGGGATTTATGACCTATACTGCAGCCCGTCACCAGAGGGCGCTGTTCTTAGAGTGGCTTCACCCAACACACTACAGCAGGTCCGTTTGACCAGAAACACTTCTGTTACAGACACTTGTCTTACTTTGTTAAAGCGGTTTACCTGTCCAGCAGAAAGGTTACAGGGTCACCAAGATCCCCAAGCGTCCCCCATCGTTTATGTTGACCCGGCTTTTTAGCTCTTGTCCGGTCTACCTCCGTTTTAAGCGCCCGTTATTCCTCCAGAGTCTCCGGTATTTACTTTGTTTTCTTGCTTGTGTCGGCAGTCGTGGCCAAAGGAGGATTCAGACAATTTTCCGAACTTTCTGGTTGGTTTCTACTGTCCGATATTGTAGCACGCTAACTTTGTTTGGGCTCCTGAACGACACGGGGGAACAGCATTTTCTTGTTGACTGTTTTCTTGTTGACTGTTTTCTTGTTGACTGTTTTCTTGCTGACTGTTTTCTTGTTGACTGTTTTTTTGCTGACTGTTTTCTTGCTGACTGTTTTCTTGTTGACCGTTTTTTTGCTGACTGTTTTCTTGTTGACTGTTTTTTGTTGACTGTTTTCTTGTTGACTGTTTTCTTGTTGACTGTTTTCTTGCTGACTGTTTTCTTGCTGACTGTTTTCTTGTTGACTGTTTTCTTGCTGACTGTTTTCTTGTTGACTGTTTTTTTGCTGACTGTTTTCTTGCTGACTGTTTTCTTGTTGACTGTTTTTTTGCTGACTGTTTTCTTGTTGACTGTTTTTTGTTGACTGTTTTCTTGTTGACTGTTTTCTTGTTGACTGTTTTTTGTTGACTGTTTTGGTTTTGACTGTTTTCTTGCTGACTGTTTTTTGTTGACTGTTTTCTTGTTGACTGTTTTCTTGTTGACTGTTTTCTTGCTGACTGTTTTTTGTTGACTGTTTTGGTGTTAGCCATTTTCCTGTTGACCGGTTTGGTGTTGACAGTTTTCTTGCTGACTGTTTTTTGCTGACTGTTTTCTTGCTGACTGTTTTTTGTTGACTGTTTTGGTGTTGACTGTTTATGGTCGACTGTTTTTTGCTGACTGTTTTCTTGTTGACTGATTACGGTTGGCTGTTTTCTTGCTGACTGTTTATGTTTGAGTGTTTTCTCGCTTGTGTCGGCAGTCGTGGCCAAAGGAGGATTCAGACAATTTTCCGAACTTTCTGGTTGGTTTCTACTGTCCGATATTGTAGCACGCTAACTTTGTTTGGGCTCCTGAACGACACGGGGGAGCAGCGTCTGCCTCACAACCAATCAGGTTAGAGGAGGTGGAGAACGGCTTTGTTTACAGTCAGAAAGAGCGGACCGCTCAAAAATGTTCAAATGTTGACGACACAGACATAAGAGAACACAGAGATATCGATATATTACCAAATGTCATCAATAACTAATAACTATTGACTGATATTAAAAACTTTCAACATAAAAAATGACGCGTCTTTCACTGATTCCTGCCTACCTCACCTTTAACCGACATGAATGTTCTCGTGACGTGTACGATAGAAAATACCGAGCGGTGTTGAAGCAGTCAGACTATCAATAAAAACTCCCGTCTATATTAACGGAGGCACACTTGATGATAATTGAGTTGTATTCACTTCCTGTCATATATCAGCTGCCACTTGTGTTCAGAAGCACTTCAGCCCTCTCAGCTCAGTCAACATAAGAAAGAAAACCCACTCCACACAGAGCGTCTCCCCTCTCTCTCAGACAGACATCTGCTGAACCCGTTAATACTGCTGTTTGCTCAGAGGCTGATGAAGGTACACGGGCCGCGGCGGGGAGGATAGGAGGCGGTAAATGAGAAGAAGGCTCGCTGTGACCCGCCCGGTTTGAAGCCGACGACGTGGAGAGAGAAAACATGAAAGATTGAATTTCTGCAAATAGAGTACACAAGTCTTTGTCATCAACACCCCCGATCCCGCCATTTTCTTATTTACCTCATACCTGCGCTCGGATAATCAGGTTAGACGCAGAATCACAAACATCCCGACTACATTTCCTCTTCACACAGATAATTTTATCAACGCCTCGTGTGTCAGAAAGCATCTCCTGAACTGCTGACACCGGTTTTCTCCTGCCATCGCCTCGCAGCGGCAGAACGTGATCAGATTATTTCACTTCCATTATATCAGACTTTGATTTGAGATATTAAACTACAGCTTTTCATTTAAAGTCTATAATCCAGGAGGATATTGATGAAAACAGAGATGGATATAAGCCTCACCTGAATCTTTATTTCAGTTTGATTTACAGGATGAAATCAGATCTTTAAGAGGACAAAACGAACACAATGGAGCGGATTTTTCTGCTGCCTGAAGAGAAAAATAACTCTAAAGGTGAGCTGACGTTTCAGTCGACAGGTCTGAGAGTCACTCTGTGGCCTTGGCAACAACATGTTTCCACCAGCTACCTTCTCCACCATCAAATCGTCCTTCACAACCAGACCTTGATGAAATACTTCACTCCTTTATCTTCTCCAGACTCTTTCTCTGCGATGGTTTTAACATAAAACTCTCTCTTATCCAGACGGCAGGTTTAGCTTTTCCTGTTTTTAGATGTTAAAGGAAATCTGGATTTGACTCCCAGCTAAATATCTGAACTGTTTGTTTGACCCCCCCCTGTGAGCGAGCCCACCGCCTTATTGGTTACGTCTACAAATATAAAGATAAAGATCTGCTATCCTGCTGCAGAATAATTATGAGGAGCAGCTAGATTTAAACGCCATCTTGGTGTTTATAAATAAAAGTTGAGGAAAAGTCGGTCATTTTAAAACTTTGATTTTTGTCTTTTAAAACCTCTGTTCTGATTGGTCCACACAGAGTCAGGTGTCTCCAAGACAGTCTGACCTCCACTGACAGGACCTTAGTGGACAGGACAAATAAAACGGGGAACATTTTTTTTGTTTGTTTAAAGTTGGAAGTTCATTTAAAGCCTTTCAAAATAAAGGCGACTAAAACAAGAGTATGTGTTTTATTTATTTATTTATATATATTTTTTAACATAATAAGTTCATCTGAAGACTTTCAAAATAAAGGCAGATATAACGGGTATGCTTTTTTTTTTTTTTTTAACATTAAAAGTTAATTTGAAGCCTTTCAAAATAAAAGCCAATTCAACTGGACTATATATTTTTTCTTTTTTTTAAATGTCAAAAATTCTTTTGAAGCCTTTCAAAATAAGAGCAAATATAACACATGTACTTTTTGCAATTTTTTTCTTTACATCGAAAGTTTATTTGAAGCCTTTCAAAATAAAGGAAATTAACAGGAGTATTTTTTTTATTTTAATGTTGGAAGTTAATTCAAAGCCTTTCAAAATAAAAGCAAATATAACAGGAGTATGTTTTTTTTAATCATTTTTATGTCGAAAGTTGATTTAAAGCATTTCAAATCAGAAGCAATTAGATCGGGAAATATTTTTTTTGTCTTGTGTGAAAATATTTTAATTTTGGGGACTTTATTTTATGTTTATAATGTTAATAGGTTTTTTTGTGTATTCATGTGTTCAACAAAGAGGAAATACAAAACAGGATGACCACCTCTGCAGCCGGACCCCTCTCAGTGTTTCTCGAACAGGAAATGTTCATGTAAGCATGCCTGGCCAGTAGGTGGCAACACTGAGTAATAAAAGCATCATGAAAAACATTTTGCTCATCCATATCGAACAGCGTCTTTGCTAACAGTAGACAGTAATCTACTAAAGTTTGTTATTTATTGGCTTCTGCACCAGGATACGATGAGAAATGAAAACTAGTTTTCTTGTACAGATTAGAATAAACCGATGCTTGGCGCAGAGATGTGAGTTTTCAGGAATAGAAAAGATAATCCAGACTATGACGTGTTGGATTATCGAGGAGGCGGTGCCGTGGTTTTCCTGATCTGTGTTTCTTTGTCTCTTTAAATGAGGACACAGAGGAGAAAGTTTGACTGAATCTGAATAAACAGCAGCTGTCTGTCGCTGTTTGCCATCCTGTATCCCCCCCCTCCACATTTGAACTGTGTCTTTCTATTGGCAGAGATTTTTGACGCCACTTTGAGCCAGCGTGAGGATTTTCGTTGTGTTCTTTGGCCCAATTAGACACTATAGCATGCCAGTCCCCGTCGCAGCCCCGGCTCCTGATTTTGGCTGATAAGACAGATGTATTTTTGCATAAACGTCCTGCCAGCACAGCGTTCAGCCAGACAGTCCAATAAACAGAGGGCTGCGGAGGCTGACAGCCATCTTACAGTGTGTTCGTCTCTGCCATCAGAGAGCGGGCGGCCCCACGCTGCGCCTGTTATCATTTGACAGGATCCCACAGCAGAGGCAATCAGACGCCGAGCCGCTCCAGACCCCATCAGACTCCCCACATCTCCGCCTCAGTCTGTGATCAGGCAGGAATCGAGACCCAACTGCATGTTGATGTTGATAACAAAGAGTCTGAAGCTGCAGTTTCCCTCATGGCCACCAGACTGCAGGCACAGCATGAACCTGCTGACTCCACTGAAGAGAGAGAGAGAGGAAAACAGCTGATGTACAAACTCCCACGTTTTGATCATCCTGGACATTTTCTGAATATGTAACCGCTTACTCCTCTGTTGCAATCCTGCAGCGTCGATTGCCAAGAAAAGCTGAGATGTCATCACTTTCCTCCTCAGATGGAGGCATCCTGGCTTCCCACGTCGGCCTCCTGTGCACCGGCGCACATGTTCGTGGTCGTCAGTGATGAGATTAAAAAAACAAGACGAATTCTGTTTCACTTTGGGTTCGACTTTAAAACTGACAGTTACAGGGTGGCTAAGTTTCAGACAATGACAAGAGTGAGACTTAAGCGTCTAAATCTGTGTTTGGATTTATACCTCAAGACTGATGTCCTCACCTCCATGCCAGCTGCTCTCCGTAATGCTGGTCTGCTAGTCTTAACCTACCGTCCGTCTTCAGGAGAGCGGGAGAACGTCCAGTGGGTTTTAAATGTTGCCCTAACCCTTATGTTGCTTCTGATTGGTTTATATTGTGTGGTGCCGTCTGTGATTGGTTAGGACCATAGACTGTATCTAGAATGGACGCCGTCTGTCTCCTCACTGGGTGAGGACACTCTGAGAACAGCACCCTCTGGTGACGGGCTGCAGTATAGGTCATAAATCCCGCCTCCTCCAGACAAACTTTATAAATTAATGACACAGAATGTAAATGTTTCTCCCCCCTGGTTGGGATGTTGACATGTTGACATGTTGACACTCTCCTCTGTACAGCGCTACTTTTCAGCTTCAAATCCGTATACTGGCAGGAGGCAGAACCAAGTTGTCCATATTATATACAGTCTATGGTTAGAACTGATGGACTGGTCTGGGATTGGTTATCTCAGTCAGTCAATCAGAGTTACTCGAACTACGACAAGTCAAGGTTATTATCATTATCATTAAAAATAAGCATAAGCAATGTCAACTATGGTGTGTACAAGTTTGTGCCTACGGCCTCTCAAACCACTGCCACACAACACTCACGATCACACACCAGTGGAGGACACACACTGGGACCAGGGTGGGTTAAGTGTCTTGCCCGGGGACACGACGGACAGACTCAGGATAGGAGGGAATCAAACCGCCAACCTTCCAGTTAGCTCTGCAGTTACAGAAACGTAAAGTCCCCATGATCCCTGGATACCAAACCGTACTGGTACCATCGCCATCCACCGTCCTCTACTAACAACATCTGTGAGCCCAAACATATGAAGTTTGGATTCAGTTGCCATGGTTTCAAGCACACAAACAAGGAGAGAAAACAGCAGGACTGGGAAAGTGATGGTTGATTGTACCATCGTAGAAATTGTAGACTAGAACCAGATGAGTCCAAATAAAAACAAAACAAAATCCACCTTTTCTTGTGGTCCTGATTCGGTACCTTGGGGCACACCAGAGTCGACAGATTAGACGTACCTAAACCATCTTTAAAAGTCTGATTTTCAGTTTTCAGCTCAGAAAACTTTACAGCAAAGATCTCGATGTGACCGGTTTAAGTCCCTCAAGAGTTTCTGCTCTTAAACAGAACCTTCACTGGCTCTCTAAATGTGCTCACATGGCGGTTTAAATCTGTGCTACAAACTGGGCCGCCGAGCTGATCCAGCATGACCGTGATCCAGCGGGAACAGGAGACAGCGCCGGGAAGACGCAGGGAGTCGGTTTGATATGTATCCCAGGAGACGCCCCCGATCCAGTCACAAACCGGAGGAGGATACGGGAACAGAAATACGCTCCAACATGGGAGGCGAAGGTACAAAAACAGATGTGACATCTTGTGTTTTAGTTGCTCTGCCCACACGTGTTGCTGTCAGTTCCCATTGAGGCTGGAAATAAAGCCGTGTGCTGATGTAGATATAAAGAGTCATCCGCAGAAAGCAGAGATGAATTCAGCACAGAGGGAACAAAGATGTCTGTCTGCATTCATGAGGGCTTCCTACTGTCCTGCTTTTATCCATGTTAGACTTTATGATCAGCGATGTTCCGGGTCTTCAGATCTCCTCTGATCTTTTTATAACGTTTAGATCCTTGAATTGAACCCGTTTCTTTCTGTTTGGAGTGTCATCCTGAAGAGTCTCTGTGAAATAGAGACGTACAGTTACTCTGGATCTACAATGAAACGCAGATCCCTATTCGACGACGGAGTATTACGGCCACTTTAAGAAAAAAAAAAATATATAAGACTTTGAGATTTAAGTCGTTACCAACGAGAATAAAGTCGTAGGAAGATCAATACTTACCAGAATGAAGACGTAGCTAATCGCTATTCTAACCTGTTTCAAGTTGACTTTATTCTTGTACAAAAGTAAAAACTTTATTACGACTTTATCCTTGTAAATAATGACTGCGTCTTTTTCTCGTCAGTAACGATTTTAAAATCAAAAATTTTTTCCTCATATAAAATCATTTTATTACGACTTTATTCTTGTAACTAATTACTTAATAATGACTTTATTCTTGTAAAGAATGATTACGTCATTATTTTCGTAAGTAGTGATTTTATTACAACTTTATTCTCGTAAGTAATGATTTTATAACGACTTTAATCTTGTAACTAATTACTAAATTACAACTTTATTCTTGTAAATAATCATTACGACTTTATTTCCATTAGTAATGATTTTTTTACGACTTAATCTTTGTAAGAAATGATTTATGATGACTTTATTCTCGTAAGTAATGATTTTATCACGACTTTGTCCTTGTCAGGATTTACTTTTTAACGACTTTATTCTTCTAAGTAATGATTTTATTATGACTCTCGTAAGTAATAATTTGATTTTGACTTTAATTTTGTAAGAAATGATTTTATCACAACTTTTTTTTCCTAAGTAATGGTTTTATTATGACTTTATTCTCAAGGATTTACTTTATTGCGACTTTATTCTCGTAAGTAATGATTTTATCACGACTTTATTTTTGTAAGGATTTTCTTTGTTATGACTTAATTCTTGTTCTTGTAAATAACGATTATGACTTTATTCTTCTAAGAAAATATTTTATTATGAATTAATTCTGGTAAGAAATAATTTTATGACTTTATTCTCATAAGTAATGATTTTAACACAACTTTATTTACGTAAGGATTTACTTTATTACGACTTTATTCTTGTAAATAATGATTACGACTTTATTCTCGTAAGAAAGGATTTTATTATGACCTTATTCTGGTAAATAGTTACTTAATTACGACTTTATTTCCGTAAGTATTGATTTTATTACGACTTTATTCTCATAAGTAATGATTTTATTATGATTTTATTATTGTAAGTAATAACAAAGTCTTAAATTTTTATTTAATGTGGCCCTGATACTCCATCGTACTATTCTCTGTAAATGAAGAAAAAGAAAAAGGTTCAGGAACAAACCAAAGAGGGATCTGACCCTGCGTGGCTCTGGCCTGATTTCACAGCTGGACATTAATGTGGATGAACTGGGAGAAGAGTCTTAGTGCATCGCTGCACCTTTCCTCCACCGCTCCTCCACTCGCTGCGTCCATCTGTCCTCCATTATTCAGGTCTGTCCATGATGATCTCTGCACTCATCACCTCCTCTCACAGATCTGCCCTCCTGCTCATCCCTCACTCCACTGACTTTACTCTCACTGTCTTTAACAGCTTCTCCTTCCCGACTTTGTCTTCCCTGAGATCTCGGAAATCATTATCTCTTGTATAAATTGAGAAGCAATCTAGTGCAGTCCGAGCACATGATGAAATAATCCTGGAACAGCGAGTGCCGGCTGTGCCCTGAAGCTACGTTTCAAAATAAATCCCGAAACAGATTTTCTCGGTTGATGTTTCACGCTGGTATCCGGGAATTAAAGCGTGACAGAGAGAGTTAAGATGTAAACAGATGATTACTGGAAACAGAGGAGTGAAAGTCCTGAAGCTCGGTGTGAGAAATAAACATGTCAGGGTGTACGACTTCTGTTTTCTAAGTATTCACACATCCAGACTCCAGACGAGGTCGTCTTTAGGACTCTCAGTTCATTCACAGGGACGACATGATAACTGCGACAAACGATTATTTTTGTTGTCGATTAATCTATCGATTATTTTCTCGATTAATTGATTAATCACGATTATCTTCATTAGCACCTATTTTGGATCTACGTTCAACCTAAAGTTGCTTAAACATTCACACCCTTACAAACGCGAGTATACTAGGACACTTTTTCATACTACAATTTTAAATTTTATCACAATATACTTTGACATTTTTAACATACTTGACTATTGACTGAAATGAAGTATGTCAAAGCAGCTGTGTCTGTAATTTACTGATTACTTCCGTGAACTAGCATTCACTAAACAAGCTCCTCCCACAACTTTATAACTAACAGATGTAAACGTATTGGGCCAAGTGGATCAGTGTACGTTAAACCAGTTCTTCAGATTTAGAAAGGAGGTGCAGGACCCAGAGAGGTCGGATTAAAGGTGGGGTCGGCAGGAATTTGTTAAAGAAGCATCTTTTTATTTTGTGGTGTATTTACAAAAAAATCTTTAATATCAGTCAATAGTTATTAGTTATTGATGACATTTGGTAATATATCGATATCTCTGTGTTCTCTTAAGTCTGTGTCGTCAACATTTGAACATTTTTGAGCGGTCCGCTCTTTCTGACTGTAAACAAAGCCGTTCTCCACCTCCTCTAACCTGATTGGTTGTGAGGCAGACGCTGCTCCCCCGTGTCGTTCAGGAGCCCAAACAAAGTTAGCGTGCTACAATATCGGACAGTAGAAACCAACCAGAAAGTTCGGAAAATTGTCTGAATCCTCCTTTGGCCACGACTGCCGACACAAGCAAGAAAACAAAGTAAATACCGGAGACTCTGGAGGAATAACGGGCGCTTAAAACGGAGGTAGACCGGACAAGAGCTAAAAAGCCGGGTCAACATAAACGATGGGGGACGCTTGGGGATCTTGGTGACCCTGTAACCTTTCTGCTGGACAGGTAAACCGCTTTAACAAAGTAAGACAAGTGTCTGTAACAGAAGTGTTTCTTGTCAAACGGACCTGCTGTAGCGTGTTGTAGCACCATCGCTAAACTGTCCTCCCTCGGGTCCTGGACTATGTCACTTTATCCTCGTTGTAGAAGTCCTGCAAACATTGTGTTTGCTGGTAGTCTGTTGGCATCTACAGTAGCACCAATGCTTTTGACTTTCACCTTGACTGGGCCCCATTTGTAATGATCTGAAGTATTTATCTGCATTATATCTGAATTTAATTGGAACGATACGAGCGAGCAGGAGCGTCTGTTTGGAGAACTGGTTGGAGG